CAGCTAGAAAATCTCTGTGGACTGATTTATAACTCATTTCAGCTGGTAAGAATACAATTGTTTGGGTTATTCTATTGATACTTCTTCCTGGACTTGGTAATCCATGGACTTCTGCATAATTTTCTATAAAATTCTTTACTATTTCTGCAACATTTTTATCAATCACCATTTTAGTTTTTCACTGAGGCATTCTTTTAATATTGCCATGAATTCTTGGCAGGAGGCCATTGTTTATCAAATGATTTCTAATATTTTCAAAATAAGTTCTACCAATTCCTAACATATTGAGATAAGTTTCTTGACAAAGAGGTGTATCATGATCCCAATGGTAGAAAGTTCTTTTATTAGATCTAGTTTTCTTTTTAAGGCGTCTACTAGTGCTTATTGATCCACCATCCATTGCTTTAAGTTGAGCCATTAAAAATATGTCTTGTTCTGGTTTAGAAAGAGCTTGAAAAGATTCCCTTAATTCTGCAAATGGTTCTTTGGGAATTCTTGAAGAACAGCCACAATTACAACCTTTTTCTAAAAAGCTAATTGCCTTTTCATATTCATTAGAACCATTATACTTATTACTTTTCATATACACCTATCCCTATATATATAATTTTATAATTTCATGTTCACTTTGTAGGTTTTCATTTATTTTAAAATTGAAATTGGTCTTGTGGTGACAAGCAAAGTAAGTAGAAAGAATTAAATTTGAGTGGATCTTCAAATAAATATCAGAAATATATATTCAATAATTGATATAAAAGAGAAAATAAAAATCCTTGACTGGTTCCATGAAAGGTAATTATGTCTAGATTTAAATTATTTATTATTGCCAAAAATGGATAGGATAAAATCATGGAAACTATTATTTTAATATATATACTGAAACAGATTTTTTTATTTTAGAAAAAATTTTTTTTTAACATAATAAAATACACAACTGTGTAGTCAACCCTGTTAAACCAAAGAAACAGTAAATCCACCTCATTAAACCAAATTTGTTAAACCTAATACTAAATACTAATTTTAAACGGAAAAAAAAATAACGGGGTTGACTATGTGGTTTGTGGCCTAGACTAGGCCCTATAAATTATTTTAGTTTTTCTTTTTTGAAATAATCGAATTTCAATTTTTAATAAATAATAATGACATAACAAAAGTCAGAAAACACAAAAATTTTGCGTGCATATTCTACAGGACCTAGGCTACAAGCTATATATACTTATTATGTGTGTTTTGCATTATTGTTTCTCTGAAATTTGCTGTAGTGTACCATTTTTGTTCTAATAAAATCTATTTGAATCTACTAAAACAAATAAACAAAGGATAAATTTATTATTTATCAAAAAAAGAAATAAAGAAACTTTAAAGTATATAAATATGGACTGTGATTGATGTATCAAAAAAATTTGCATTAAAAATTATTAAAATTTATACATTTAAAATAAATATTTTGAATAAATTCTATAAAAACAATGCTGTTTAAATTGACTATTGCTTGTGTGATCAATTCAATCATTAACACCAAAAGAACAAAATTGATTAATTCGCAATAAAAGCTATTTGTTTGTTTATTTATTGTTGTTTTTTGATTTTAAATATTAATGCATGGTTTCTATTCATAATCCAAATTTCATTTTTATTCATTTTTATTCATTTTTATTCATTTTTATTCGTTTTATTTTTTTATTTTATTCAAGTAAACCTTATTTGAATAGAAACCTAACTGCTACTCAAGATTATGATATTATTTTAGTACAAAAAGCTTTAGAAATATTTAACCAATAATTTAATTACAATATAAAAGAGTTATTGGTTTATTAAACTAAGCCAATAATTAACTAAAAAATAGGATTAATTATAAGAGAATATCTGATAAATATCGGCACCTTCAATATTTACTAGTAGGCTTTTAGACTATATGATAAAAATTCTAAGAATATTATTAACTTATCAGTACTTTGATTATTTTTTTAAAGAATAATCAGATTCTGATATTTGCTGAATACCTCATTACCCAATTTGACCAGTAAAAAGAGAACCAATAGATTATATATAAGCAAAGAAAGATGGGACCCTAAATTAGCACAAAAGAAT